GGCAGTTATATTTTATGACTGAGAAAGATTTCTGTTTGCCAGTGGAAATTTAATCTGGCGTGTGATCTACTTACTGGCCTTAAGAAGAGTTGTTCATTCAAGGCAGGAAGAAAAAAACATGCTCTAATTGTTTGAACCAATAAAGTTTTAAAAGGTCACGGGAGATCTGAGTGCTGATAATTCTTATTTTAATTCTCTGTTTTATTGATGAAAGTGTTGCCTTGAAATCGATAGTAATTTTGCCACTTCATACCTCCTCCATGGGAAAGGAATGTGTTTTGATAAGAGGTAGTGTCTTTAAGAACTTAAGGTGAAGATGGCAGATGTAATGAGACTGAGTTGTTAATAAGATCAAGAACATTCAGTTTTGCAAATACATTGTTGGACATTCCATTGACTGTTGGCATCCTTCAGGAAATGTTTGATGAGCAAATAAAAGTGATTAGAGCTAAGATTGATGAAATGGTGAATGAAAGCAGACCAGAGAAGGATGAAATGGAAAGCAGAATTGAATATGACACAGAGACTTCAGAGAACAATATGGATAAAAGATTGCCAGAAAAGGAGGGTGAAATTGTAGAGTTGGAGGCAGTGGTTGGTGAAATAGAAGAAACCCTTCACACAGGAGTTTAGAGAAATGAAACAACCAAATGCTGGAGTCCTGATGGAGTAGAATGAAGTGTAAACAGAAGGGTAATTTTTAAAAATCAAGATGCAGAACCATGGCAAATTCAACAGGAAATGAAACAAACTGAACTGGGTGTGAATTGATGAATACATCATAAGTAAAGAACTATGGAATATTAGTTTAATATATGATCACAGCAGAAAGAGTCTTATGTGGACAAATATGGAAAGAGTTATTATTGTTTAATATGGAGGAATGGTAGTTGAAGTTATTGGAGAAGAAGTTGATACGTTTGATTGGATAAAAACCATTTCAGACTTTTATTAATATCAAGAATTAGAGAACCATTGTTAAACTTTTTGTGTGAAAAGGAAAATGAATTAATTTGAGACATTTGGGTCAGAAGATTGAGGGGGGGGGATGCCTAACAGAAAGTAGATCAGTTGGATGTCATTCTAGAATGTCTATTTTGAATTATTTATTTTATGTAGCTGACAGACAGAAAATCAAAATTCCTTTATATTTTTCTTCTTTTTTCATTTTCTTCCATTCTTTTTTGTTTTCATTTGGTGTTTTCTCTTTCTCTTCCTCTCTCTGCTTTTGTTTTTTATTCAGATTAGTTTCTTTTAATTTGTTGCATTATTAAAAGCTTTAATAGTTTTATTTTTTTTAAAGAGTATTTTTCAAGAAAATACAAGTTACATATCAATTGTGGCTAACATCATGTAATACTCATCTTCAAACACCAATGGTAACATGTACACAGCTTCAGTCATGTTACTGTTCTTTGCACAGCCCAGCTGAATTGTAGAAACAATTGAGACTTCCATGATCCAGTACAGATGAATGATAAACTCTAGACATCTTTTGCCAGCATAGGCACATTGAGATAATTGTGAGATGAAGAGCTGTGAAAGAGAGATACCCAAGGGAGGAAGTCTGAGTGTAAACTTCAGTGGTGCGCCAAAGAAAACAGGTTATACTGTAAGGGTTGTTTATCAAAAAAGGGATACTGTGATTAGAACCTGCCAAGCAGAACCTGGAGTAAGAAATCATTGTGGGTCTCTGAGTCCACCCTGTAGGGTTCTATGGGAAAGAAATCTTGACACTCAGCTCTGCTTCTTCCTCTCTGTCCTATTACCACTAAACATGTTACAGCATCTACAGTGCAGTAGTTACATTGCCACACCAGTATGCTCTGTAAGAACTATAAGTGGGTAAATTATATGGTTCTTTCTAGGAATGGGTTTGGAGAATTCAGTTCACATTTAAAGGTGAATTTATCAAACTCAGAAACAAACATGTTTCTGAAATGCTATGGGAATGGAGACACGGCTATTCTTTGAAATTCGCCCTTATCTGACTTTTTCACCTTAGTTCTCCAACTAATTAAAAATGAATTTGTTAGGAACAATTGTGCATAAAAACGAATATATTGGTGAGGCTTACATACAAAATGGATTATATTAGGATAAATTCACTGCAAAAACATGTACTGCATAGAAAAATGTGTTTATTGGGAGAAAATCACACAATTATTAAATTTGACACTATTTTGTGATATTTTTCTTGACCTAATAAAATTATTGCCCTACTGTGGAGTGCGTAATTTTTCTTATGGACCAACACTGCTATCTTTCCTTTTTGTGCTCCTTTATTTCAAACCCTCCATATTAAGCTGCTCACATTCTTAAATAATTTGGAAAGCACCGCCTCGATTCAAAAGTAGAGGACATTTCAAAGCAAGAGAACTGTGTAGTAGCCATTTCTTCCCATTTCTCAGATGTGGCATCTACTGTCTCAGAAACAGAGACCTGATCAATGCTGTTGGGTTGTGTAATGTTGCTCCTAGTTGCTGTCGTCTGAGAGATGTCTAGAAAGTGCCTTTGCTCAACCAGCTGAGAGATCCTAGAGATCTAGAGTTAGGAGTCAGCAGTGAGGTGGCTAAGTTTGCTGCTGACACTAAATTGTTCAGGGTTGTCAAAAACAAAAAAGAGAATTTGAATAAAGGACTTCTCCAAAGTGAGTGAATGAGCAGTAAAATTGCAAATGCTATGCAATATAAACAAGTGTAAAGTGGTGCATGTTGGACCCCCCAAAAAAACTTAATTTGAGGGGTCTGAACTGGAAGTGACAGAGCAGGAGTGAAATCTGGGAGTCATAGTAGCTAGCTAGTCAAGCTATGGAACTCTTTCCCCCAGGAGGCATTGACAGCGAGCAACTTGGATGTCTTTAAAAGATGATTAGGCGAAGTCATGGAGGAGAGGGCTATCCATGGCTTTCAGCTATAATGGCTATGCTCTGCCTCCACAGTTGGAGGCAGCAATGCTTCCAAATACCAGTTGCTCGAAACCACAAGAGAGTGCTCTTGTGCTCATGTTCTGCTCACTGGTTTGCCACAGGCATCTGGTTGGCACTGTGATAACAGGATGCTAGACTAGATGGGCAATTGGCCTGATCTAGCAGGCTATTATCTCCAAGCCCTTCTTAGAGAGATGTCCTGTCTGTATCACAACAGCTTCCAATATTTCTTTCTAATGGAAAAAAAAACTAGTTGGGGAAAGTAGTATAGGTCAGGCTAAGTGGAGCATGCCTGCTGGGAAATGCATACCTCTTCTGAGCAGCATGTCACCCTCCCCAGCATAAAAATAGGCTGATGCCTCAGAAGCTTATGTGCTGATCGAGAGGCATCTGGAGTAATTTTCCAATGGAATGTGAGAGGGCTAAGGTGAGTCATGGCTATTGGCCAGAAAGAGCAGCAGAAAGTCAGAAACCCAACATGAATTGCTTAGAAATCTTACATTTAAAGTCCTGTAGGATAGAGGCGTAGAAAATTCTATTAGCTGCATTTGCTATATATGCTTATAATGATAGGAGTGTTGGATCTATTGGATCTCCCTTGGAGAAGGAGGTATGAAATCAGAGGCTTCCTCTACTGTATGTTGTTGTGGAAAAGTTCACAGCCAGTTTCTCTCCAACACTGGAGCACTAATGTCAAAAATGGTGATGGGAACATTTATGTTTGTGCATGAAACTGTCCCCATCATACTCCCAGAACTGGGGCAAACCCAGTCCTGGATCTGATGTAATTATTTGTCTCTCATTGTGAAACTGTTTAAAAGACAAAAAAATCCAGAACTAATATATACTCCCACTCACCCACCATTTCTGCTCTGCTGGTGATTTGTAGGGCACAGGAAGAGAAAGATTCACCCTCCATTTGTTCTTCCCCAATTCTGCTCTTTGATCAAAGACTGGAGGTTTCAAAGACACTTAGGCTGCAATCATAACCCTACATACTTGAGAATAAGCTTCATTTGATTCAATAAGAGTTATTTCTGAGTAGACATGGCTAGAACTGAGGTACTTCATTGGGAGGAAGATGGATTACATCCATCTAATTCATAATCAGGATAGACCCACTGGAATTAATGGACTTGAGTTACATATGCCCATAGATTTCTGTGGCCCTGCGCTGAACCTGAATAGCATTTTTTATTTCCCAGTGCAACTTATTTCTTACATAACATGAATGGATAAATGGTATTTTGCTATTACCAATCAGATAAGGTCATTCATGTGATAGAGCTTTGGGCTTCATACATGCCACCACCATCCATATACATTGCATGCAGAACCTGCACAGTGTAGCAAGATATGCCAAACTGATTTATAGCTCAGCCACTTCAATAGGATTTCTACCAACACTTTAAAAGATGAAAATTGCATAGCCTCTCAGTACTTCCAAAGTAACGGAACAGAAAGAGCTGTATCTAACTAGTATGTACTGCAGATCAGCTGAAGGCAACATAATGACTCATAATTTATTGCCTGCACCTTGGCAAGGTATTAAATGTTGGTGAATGGGAGGCCATTTTGTTCCATTGCAATCTTGCAAAATCAGATTTTGACTGGGTTCTGACGCATCTGAGTAGTACACTGATCAGCAATATTGTGGTAACATGGCATCTTGGCTTGTCTAGTAATATCAGTAGAAGGACTAAAATGGGATTAGCAGTGGTGTGGTTCCACCTGAAATTCATATTGTTGTCCTAGGGCTCTTATGGTGCACTTTTACTGAAAGTATATTCAGTATCTTAACCTAGTAATTCCTTCTACTTCAGATGATATTTGTTTCACGTTTTTTAAAAAGGGCCCTTCATTTACCTACATTTTCAACATTTTAAAGTAATTGGTTTAAGTAAATGTCTTTGACATTGTATAAATATTGCATTAATTATTTTTTCTCTTTTTTCTTTCTCACTATCACTGTTTCCTTTTAATTTTCTTTTTTCACATTTTATAATATTTTTTTTCATTTTTGTCAATTTTTTTCTTACACTTCTGATTTTTATATCAATCTTCATCAAAGCAGATACCTGCTGCGAAGCCCGTAAAGGTGGAAATGGATGCCAGTCACGGCAGCTGAATGCTGCTGGCTTTGTTTTCCTTATAGTCATAAGTCTATTGTGCACGTTTTCATATTGGTGGTGAACCATGCAGAACATTGTACGAGGTTTTTCTTTCTTTCTGTGAACTTCCTATTTAAGGGGAAATAACAGACCTGGATACTATTGGACTTTCTGGAGCTCCTTTAAAATATTTGTTATATTACATCAACATGAAAGTAACTGAAGAAACTATGCATGAATGAATGTTCCTTACGAGTGGCTTTTTTTCATTGGGGAAACCCTAAGAATGTTTTCAGAAGTGATGCTTAAATCATCTTTTGTATTTCATGCATATGCAATTTGAATGTAGAATCTTCATGGTATAGAAGTAGAATCAGTTCAAAATGATAGATTCTCAGCATCACTTGTGGAAACAGTTTCAATCTTATGGCAAACACACAACATGATTAGCTACTTGTAGCATGGTTTGGAGTAAAATGTTGCCATTCTGTCTCAATTATGTTTCTTTGCAAAACAACAACAGCAACAACCACAAGCATAGTTATTCATTGGCCCATGGGTTGACCTGTAGTTCAATTTTATCACATGACTTGAATAGTCTATTAGAATACTTTGGTTTCATATATGCCACTATGCATATTGCTGTGCCTTTATTAAGATGTATTTATATGCTCTTTGTTATTTCTTATGGCATTGTTTGTTTTTGGTTTTTAAAGCAAAGTGTTGAAGTTCAGCCCTTTCTAAAGGACTATTAAATATAGTTGGGACCTCTTAAATACCCATAAAGAGTTTTACTGTCCCTACCTGTGTTTTTCCATTCACTGTGCTGTCAGGGAGAGCCTGTTTATACATCCCTGTACAATGTTATTTCTGACATTAAAGTCCATGGGGAAACCTGCAGAAGCATATTGGAATGCATGCAGAACTTCAGGCCAGAGCGTTTTTGCCTAATATATATTTTAACATAGTTTAGATTTATATGTATATATATATATTCAAAAACAAACAAGCAGCCATTTCGTACCTCTATAGGCTTTGTAAGTTCCCCAGGCAATCCTTTTCTATTTTTCCTTCCTATCACAATTCTTCAGACAACTAAAACCTCTCTCAGAATACCGTCCCAAGACTGAGAGTAAAATATACTATTTATTGTAGGTAAAATGCAGCCATTCCTGCCTTAACTAATACTTCTTTACAAAAAAATAATAACCATTCCCATATGAGACAGTTAATAATTTTACATTAAATGTTGTTACTTTTCAATACATCCACCAGATTAGATATTGGTGATAATTCCATTAACACAGTAATAGGCAATATTTTATATCACTGGCCTTATTAGTATGTAAATTATTGGAATGACAGGGATTAATTTATAGGGAAAGGCCTTTCTTTTTATGTATTAAGGGTAAAACACATTCTTTCATATAAATACATATAAATGTTCAGCTAATATAAAGGAATAACCCACTAAAACATATATCTAGAAATACATATTGAAGTAAAGATCCCAGATAAATAATTATAATACCTGATGATTTTAAACTACCATATAACAATCCTCTAATAAAATTCATCATTGGATTCTGTTTCATACTATTCAGTATCTCTATGTGAAATTTAAAATCTAACTTTAAATAATAACCCCAAGGCCACAGGTCTTATTGTATAGTTTCTGTAGTTATGTCACTCGACAGCATCAGAACTGAGATATCAATATGCCTCATTTCACCTGTGTCACATCTGTTCCTATTGCTGGAGGAAAATTTCTATTACCCTTGGAAAAGCAGCACTTTCCCCATGTGGATTCAGCACTCTGGAAATTACTTCCCATTTTATTATGTAGCAATTATGGTATGCTATGCTATTCTCTCATTTACCTAAAAAAGGTATAAAGCAAGATTTGCACCTCCTCTCCACCAAAGGAATTTCTTTCTCTAAAACAGTGTGAAAAACACATTTTTAGACTCTGTGTAATATTTCTCAAATATGGAAATCAACAGGGAACAGAATTGCATTAGTCAGCTTTCATATCTTCACTTCTTAAAGGTATCAGTAAATTCATGCTTGCTTAGAGCTTTCCACCTCTGAAATGTTACTTTATGAAATTTGGATTACATCTGGAAGCAGCTAGTGGACTGTTCTGAGGATATGAGTCTCCCCTTCCATTTTACCCTTACTGTATATCAGTTATTATTTCCAAACTTCTAATACATTAAGGACTCAAATTGTTCCATTTCTTGCCATGATGCTTTCTGATAAATCCTTCAACTGACAAGCATAAAAATAATCAGCAATATGACCGTCTATCCCCCTTAAGGCAACAATGTAGGATGTAGCTCTTGTTTAGCCTCATTAAAGTATTTATTTTAGTTTGCCATTTCATTAATGTATTGGGATAATTAAATAATTGACATTGCTTGAAACAGATAATTTTTGGAAGTGCTGCCCAAGATAAACCACACCCCATCCATATTTATAACTCCCCCCCACACACAATTTTTATTGGTTTTTAAACAGATACACGAAACATTAAACACTTATCCAGTTGTACATCTAATGGTGTTTGTTCTATTCATTGACTCTAGACATAAACTTACACATTCAACATTCATACTTAATGCAACCTCTTCAGAACATTGGAGGTGGAAAGCTTGGTTCATTTAATCATCTTTGGTAGGAATAGAGTATTCTCCATTATATCCACAATTATAACTTCTTCACACACACACACACACACCCCACACACAAAGTAGTTTATTACACATAAATATAACATGAGAAGAGCCTGCTGGATCAGGCCAATGGTCCATCAAGTCCAGCATCCTGTCTCACAGTGGCAAACCATTTGCCTCTGGGAAACCAGCAAGCAGGGTTTGAGAACAAGAGCCCTCTCCCCTCCAGTGGTTTCCAGCTACTGGTACCCAGAAGCAATGCTGCCTCCAACTATGGAGGCAGAACATAGCCATCATGACTAGTAGCCATCGATAGCTCTCTCCTCTCAGAAGATGAGCAAGTGATCAGATGTAGGATTAGCTCCAAGTGTCTCTGATATTTTTTAGTCCACACAAATGGGAACTTTGATTTACTCTCCCCTTGCCCTTAGTTGTTAAAGTAATATACTTTTCTGAGTTATCATGGTTAATAGCAAATCAAAATGCTTCTCTAATGCAGGTGTGGGAAATCTTTGGCTCTCTAGATTCTACAACTACAGCTCTCATAATCCTTGGCCATTGTCCATCTTTGCTAGGGCTGATGGGATATGCTGTTTAGCAACATCTGCAGGTCCAAAGGTTCCCCAGAGAGCTACTGGGGTGATGTTTTCAGTTCTGAAAAACATAATATTATAAGAGATACATGATATCCTATGACAATGGTGATATCTTACTAGTCTGATTATTTATTTTTATTTCATATGTATCTTTTACTTAACGTAGCATGCTGGTATTCAAGAACAGGGGAAAAGGACATCTCTGACTGGTTTTCCTATATAAAATTTTAATTTTGCCCACTGAGAGATTTGCTCAGTTATTCAGTCTTTCTTGCATCAACCATAGATTTCTATAAAGAAAATTAGTTATTTCTTCAAATTAATCATTTTTACATATTAAATACTCAGACATTTTATATAGTCAGACAATTTACACTACTTACCTTTCGGCATCTAATAGGTCTCATGATTAAGCAACTACTATACAGGTAGGTAGGTCTAATAATTTTGTTATGTTTTTAATATACCAGGGAATACATTTTTTTCTAAAGACAAAAATAGATTACACGAAAATTGTAGGATAGTAATAAACTTATCATTCAATCTGTGTTTCAAATACAGAACATAAGATTGAAACTTCTCAATGGTCAGTGATATCCACTTATGTATTGTATTTAGGAAAGTAAATGTTCTATTTCACATTATTTTTATGGGTATCATTCAACATATCATTCATATTGGGAACTTCACTAGCCAATTTATAATTTAGCAAATAATACCTAGCAACTGTTTTGCAACTTCAAAACCTTAATGAGCTACACTTGATATGTTGTTTTATATAACTTTCTTCACTCCTAAAACCTTTAGTAATATGTTGGGAATCTGCATTAGGCAGATGTCCTAAAAATACTTAACCATGTGCATATCCTCACTGCTAGTGTATATGCTTTAAATATGCATAAGCCTAAACATCTTGATGAATTGAAGCCTGTCAGTTTGACTGGCCTGTCAAAATTAATAAGTAAATAATCATTTAGATACTAGATGTTGCTGTTAGTTAGCATCCTTTCCTTCTACGATCTGCACGTCTTGTTAATGTAAACCTACTATGGATCCTATAGAAATATAACAATAGAACTTAAAATAGGACTGGGAATTTTTAAGGAGGGGTGGCCAATGTAGTGCCTTCCAGATGTTGCCTGCAACTTTCATCAGCCCCAGCCAGCATGTGGCCAATGGTCACATCTGGAAGGAACCACTTGGGCTAGATCTTATACAGATGTTCAGAAACATATTAGGTTGTTCCACAACTCACAGAGAGAGGGTCTGTTCAAGTGTCACCCTCCCTGTGAAACCACCTTCCCTGTGAGTTGCAGGAAGCATATATATTAATGCAATGTTGGCACTAGCTGAAAATGCATTATTATTATTTTGAGTGTTCTGCTGGCTTCTAATGCCAATTTGTTTTTTATTGTAATTTTATTGTAATTCTGCTTTTTTGTATACTGCTGTGTATGAATAATGCTCTAGAAATATTTTAATAAATGAATAAATAAATTTTCCCATATAATTTGTCTAATCAGTCAGCAATGAGGCTGCCTATAGCATTGTTGATTCTAATAAGAGCTTGAAATTGCATGTCTCCATACAAGCCATAAAGATCCATGCCCGCTGAAGTAGTGAAGAACCATATATAAATGGAACATATAGAAAGCATACTATAGGATATATAGAGAAACAGAGGGGATTGCTACCAAATGTGTGTCATCTGCATTGCCCGCTCCCCTTATTACAGCTATTAGTCTATATGGGCACTAATGAGTAGCAACAATTGGTTGTTCTAGATGGTTTAGGTCTATATATCTCCCTACTGTCTTGCTACTATGACATAGCTTCTCAGTTACATCAGGGAAGTGAACTCTCAAAAAATATCTGGAAGCAAGGCAGCAGCAGACTACCTCTTTCTTACCAAAGAGACAACACTGGAAACATGCGAGCTATCTTATTTGGAAAGGAACACTTCAGTGGGTGGGTTTGGGGTAGAATCAGCTGTACTGCCCTTTACATTGACCATGGCAAAGGCATTCATGACTTTCAGGCATTCAGACTGAATGTAAGTGAAGCGTAGGTGCCAAGCATTGGGTGACCTAGATGCCCCGGCATCCACAACTTTTTTCTGGGTGCTTGGTACCCACACTGCGGGCTCCGATGTGACCTCTGGTTTCTACCCAAAGTCATGCTGGAGGCCCAACCAGGCCTTCTGACAGCACTTTCAGTACAAACCAGAAGTCTCGTTGGAGATGCCTTGAGCATGATCTCTGAGGCGTCCGAGGCCCTGCCAGGCCTCAGAAGCTCTGCTGCAGCGCACTGATTAACATGACATCATGACACCGCAATGTCATGTTGTGTTGCAGGTGCCATTGGGCACCCCTGGGATGAAGAGTCCCTACACCTTCTCTTGTCATCTTTCAGTGAGGCTTTCCCTGTGGAGAAAACAAGGGGCAGGATCATATTCACAGCTCCTGATCCAGCTCTGACCTATCTCAACTCTGAAAAATATTGGTGAGGAGTGAGTAGAGAGAAGGTGATGGGATGCTGTGACTGTGGAATGGGAAGTTAAACACCTGAGTGCTCAGATGAAGGGCAGAAACTTCAGCACAGGGCTGCTGAATGAGGGAGGGAGAGCCATGAAACAGAGTCTGAGTTGTGAAGCAAAGGAAGCAGAAATAGGTTGGGGAAAGGGGAAAGAGATGGTGTGAGTCCAGAGACTATTACGCCAATCTGATCCTTTTACAGGCATTTAACTAAAGAGTAAGTACTATGTGAGTGAGTAATAACATATTTCTCTAATTATTGCAACATATTTTTATGGGGGTTTTTATTAGAGGGCCACACCAATTCTCTAAGAATTTAAAGGTGTGACAAGCAGGGCATCATCTAAAGCTAAATCTCTAGGCAGCAATACAGCTACCCTCACTAAAGCACCCACTAATTCACAAAGTTCAAAACTGTGTGTGATATCCAGCTTCAGCCATGCCCAGAGTAGACACATTGAAATAAATTGAGTATTGTATATCGATCTTAGAATCGGTTAGCATTTTATTTGTTCTTGTATTTCATAATCCTTAAAAGACATCTACTTAGCATTAAAGCTCTGGATACAAAAACATGTTGCTGTCCATTAATGTAAACTCTTTATTTCAGTAATCAAATTACAGGAATGTATATTTGCCGGTTGTAAAATAATTGTTTTTATTTGATATAAAGTTGGTCTTAACGTTATTTTGTTATTTTCTTTTGGTTACTAATCATATTTGAATTGTAACACGTGAAAGATAAATCAAGCATATCCAGCATATGTCTAGTTCACTTAAAGCAGATGTGAGGAACCTCTGGCTTTCAAGATGTTTCTGTACTACAGCTCCCAACAGCACCAGCAAGTATGGTCAGTAGTAATGGATGATGGGAGTTGTATTTCAGCAACGTTGGAGCACCAAAGGTTCCCAACAGCTGGCTTAAGCTAGTCTAGCCTGGTTCAAACCAGAGTTTGATCCTAGTTTGCTTTAACTAGCTTTGGTTAGAACAAACCACAGTTCCCCAAGGTCAGATGTAATGGGGAACTGTGGTTTTAAAGTTCATGGGTCACTGCTTCTCATTCCCAATAAGCCATGATTTTAGGTGTGGGTGTGGGGTGTAGGGGTGTGGGTGTGAGAGAGAAACTGTCCATACTAAATATCTTCTCTGGAATGCTATTTAAAAACAAAACTCTTTCCAAATGTAGAAATATATAGTTTTAAAGTAGTTTATGAAGCACTGTGTAACTCTTTATTCATTCATTCATGTCTCATTGACATTCTGTCTCAATGGCTTTTAGTACACACTGATGGTTACTGTCATGCATCATATCTTTTCCTTAAAACAAGTGTGTGCATTGTAAGTGTAATGTCCCACAAAATCTTCCCAAGTGTAATGTCAAAAACATTTGTAACCTTATGCACGTCTTTCATTACTTGTTTAATGTCCATTTTGTTTTATGTAATCTTTACGCCATTTTTGTAATAAAGAAAAGTGATGTAACATTCATTTAGCAGTAGTTTCTTTAATTATATATAAAGATACTGTTGTTCTAATTCACACGTTTCCACATCACAGTTAATTGTATAACATTCTTCTCAGGATTCCCCCCTTTTTTTTTAAAGTCAAAGGACAGTATTGTCTTATCAGTAAAATATTGAAGAAAACACAATCATCGCATTGTGGTTATTGCTTCTTATTCTGAACCCTACCAAATGTAATGCAGCTATAAGAACAGTCTAGTTCAGCATCTGGTTCTCACAGTGACTAGCCAGAAGCCTATGGGAAACCCACAAGCATTACCTTAATCCATTTGTAATGCCCAGAAACTGCTATTCAGAGGCATACTGCTTCTTTACAATGGACATAGAACCTAGCTTATCATGAAGATCTTTCAGTAAAACATAATAGTGTTCAGATTGTGTGTGTGTGTGTGTGTGTGTGTCTGTGTGTCTGTGTGCGTACGCGCGCACATGTATGTGTATGTGTGTGTTTGAGTATAACATTTAAAAAACCAAGCAAAATTGTCAGCTCCTATTAACAATAAAAATAATCTATCAGTTATCCTTAGGCCTCAACTTCA